GCTGCACAATGCGTTTAGAAGAGGTGGAAACACACAGTACAGGCAACCCCTGCATTTACGACCTAATTGGTTCCTGGAGAACCGTTGCAAGTCAAGCCCTTTTTTCCCATAGGCGCAATGTTATAATGGCAGTTCCATTCCTGAAAACCCATTTCATACCCTAAAATACCAAAAATGACTCTGGAAATGGAGGAAAACTAAACTAAATAGTTCAACTAATGCACAAAAATAACTAAAAAGTGAAGATGAATGTGGCGGAGATGCGTGCAGGTCAAGCAGCAGCTGCAGACTGGTGAGTCTGACTGACCTTGTGCCTTTCCTGTTTTGGGATGACGTGTGGAGTCTGCGTGGTACACCGTCGTAAATACGAGCTGCAGATGTAAAGGTGGGGGGGATTTAGGCGCTATCTTGCATGAAGAAAGAATTGACTATGTCAGCCAGGCCAACATGCATACTTAAATACTGGCTTCTATTCATTGAACTGTTTGAAAAATTAACCTAAATAATCTATACAGAAGCCTCTAGAACCCCATAAGATTAGATCCCTAATCCACGAATTATTGGAACTCATTTACAGAACTTTTCTTGAACATTCCATGAATTAGAATTTATAATCTCTATTCCATGATGAGATATCTTTGAGCTATGATGTATTTTAATTAAAACTATCTTTACATAGTTTTTCCTCAAAAAAGCATTTTATCAAAAAACCTGATTTAAATTTTTAAAAATCTGATTTTGATTTTTTTTAAAATCATTGATTTTTTTTTAAATCCACCTTGCTTGGCTGGAACACAAACGATAAAGTGGCTAGTGTGACAGGCATGGCAATTTCCTCCGATATTCTGGGTAAAGCTGACGGGAGTAAGTTTAAGTCGTTTGGAAGTATATTGTATTTAAAAATGCAAATAGTTATGTGTTATTTTGGGTTTGCATAGAATGTCTCTAGGGGGCAGTCATGACTAATGTAAACTCTGGGTGTTAAGAGCTTCAGAGAATCAACTGAAATAACCAGAAGACAAGAATGAACTTTTAAAGTTAAGTGGGTTTCCCAGGCAATCTCTAGGGGGAAACGGATGCAAGTGTAAACTCACTCATCTCTGCAAGAATTCAGTTTTTAGAAGCTTCACTCTGAGGAGGCAGTCTTTAGCTGCTCCTCCCCTGTTGCATGAGGACAAACTTATAACTACAGAAGAGTCCCTGGGTGGGGTTTGAAGGACTGATCCCTGCCTGACCTCTTGGAGTTTTCTATTGTTCTAATATGTTTTCTCTGTAATGCTTTCCCTTAAGAATAGATGTGCTTGCTTAGAAAATGTGGTGCGGTAACTGTGGGCAGTTATTCTCTTTGTATCCTCGGTGGAGAAAGCAAAGCAGGCTTGCGAAGGCAGTCTGACTCGCAGCAGAGCTCTCCGTGTAAGCAGGGAACTGTATAGCTTGAAAAAAAAAACTTAGTCAGGAGGGAGGTACGGGCGTTCACTCAAGAGAGGTGACAGCCGAGGATTCTGGGAGCCCAGAGTGGGTGACCTTACCGAGCCATGCAGGGGAAATGCAGGTGGGCTTGCCCTGAATGGTGACAACTAGTATATACTTCTGTGTTATTAATGCACAGTAACTCCTGTGCGAAATAGGAACACCCATGGTAGGAGACCACCCAAAAGTAGCCCCTTATTTAGTAACCGTGGGCTGACGAGCATAAGTCTGGGATAACTCTCCTTACTTTAGTGCAGATGTTTTGGATTCACAGTCGTGCAAATGAGATCAGAATTTGGCCTCCCCCCATCTCTAACATGGCCAGAGAATGTGTGAATGGAATCCCTAGCTAAAACAGAGACCTGCTGTCAGCAGCCAGCCACTGATTGGCAAAACCAACTACTCACAGTGTTGAATGTATTGGAAAATTTTTGTAGACTTGCTGCAAACAGAAGATGAATTAGAGGATAAAAAAATTGAAGATGAGCTGGCAGGATCTTTAGGTGACTCATCAGGTGCATCTTATAAAGGCTCTTTCTGGGAAGAAGTGGATAATCCTGTGTCCTTACAATATTTGCTCTGCAGCAAGGAGATGCAGAAGCATTGGGACCCGTTAGTGAAATTAGAGACCTTGACCCAAGTGCCTCGTGGAACCCGCTCAGAAACATCCTTCCGCCTCAAGAACTCTCTTTTTCACTAGTGCATTTGAAAACCGAGCTGAACGGGGAAGCGAAAGGCTGTTCTCCGCACCCATGTCTAAGATCATGCCAGAAAATACATTGACTTTGCTGCACAATGCGTTTAGAAGAGGTGGAAACACACAGTACAGGCAACCCCTGCATTTACGACCTAATTGGTTCCTGGAGAACCGTTGCAAGTCAAGCCCTTTTTTCCCATAGGCGCAATGTTATAATGGCAGTTCCATTCCTGAAAACCCATTTCATACCCTAAAATACCAAAAATGACTCTGGAAATGGAGGAAAACTAAACTAAATAGTTCAACTAATGCACAAAAATAACTAAAAAGTGAAGATGAATGTGGCGGAGATGCGTGCAGGTCAAGCAGCAGCTGCAGACTGGTGAGTCTGACTGACCTTGTGCCTTTCCTGTTTTGGGATGACGTGTGGAGTCTGCGTGGTACACCGTCGTAAATACGAGCTGCAGATGTAAAGGTGGGGGGGATTTAGGCGCTATCTTGCATGAAGAAAGGGTTGTAAATGCAGGGGGTTGTAAGTCGGGGGTCGCCTGTAGAATTTCTCTTTAATGGAAGGTGGTTTTGTTTAATATTCTGAAGGTCAGTTGATGACTTTTATACCTTTCTACACATGCTACATTAAAGGAGCCGCACAGTCCAGTGCATAGGATGCTTGCCTAGCGATTGATGCCTGCAGGGAGGACCGCCTAGAGCCGTGATGTCCAACCAGTTCTGAAGCAGTAGCCATGTTAGCAAACTAGCCGCATTATTCTGGCAATGTAAAGCCAACTAGCCACACTCAACTGGCCAAATAGACACATGTGGCTAGTGGCTAGAGTGTTGAACACCATGGAGCTAGAGGAACAGGGAGGAGGCACCCCATTAGCAAATAACATTTTAGCAGCAGCGTGGGGGAGCCTTCCGAGTGCTGCCATGAGTTACTTACGGATGCTAGCTTGGGATTTGAATTGATCTTGGTTTAATTCCCTTATTTGCCACATGCTCTCTGTGTGATGTTGGGCAAATCACTTATTTTGTGCCTCAGTTTCCCCTCTGTATAATGGGGATAGTAGCACAGTCCTTCACAGTGCGGTAGTGAAGATTAATACACTAAAAAGTCTGAGAGGCTCAAAAACCGCAGTAACTCAACTGACATCAATAGTTATTCAAGATTTATACCTTTGTCAGTGAGATTGGAAACTGGGTGTAGATAATACTTGGTAGTAGGGCTTGCTGATAATTATAGGCCATGCTTCCTCACCTGGAGATAGTATCTTACCCCATCAATATTCCCACTGAAAAATACTCCTCGACAGTTTTGATCCCATAACAAGTCAACACAAATTTTTGCAATGATTTGAATGGGAGCAGGTGAGAAAGGGTGGCAAAATCCTATAGTTCGGATTAAAAAAATTCCAACCCACAAATGTCTAAACCAGTGGTCCCCAACCTCTTGTGGCTGCCTGGCTGGGCAGGGGTGGGGACGCACATGCACCGCGCACCCGGGTGGGGGCCATGTATGTGCCCGGGGCCCGGGACACAAGAATGCTTCAGGCCAACCCTGGTTACCAGATGGGCGCACACAAACACCCCAGCGGGCTCCATGGCACCTGCGGGCACCGTGTCAGGGACCACTGGTCTACACCACACAAGGCAAGTCCTGTTGGATATCCTTTTCTCTGTCTGACTCTCATCCTCCCCCACCCATTCCTTCAATTACTGGCTATACTGGATTGTAAGCTGTTTGAGACAGGGGCTGTCTTTCAACATCCCCACACCAGGGCCTCATTTTGATTTGGGCCTTGGTATGCCACTTCATTATACATAGTAATAAAAATATGTGTATTCTGAATATTCAGGACACTTTCCTTTTTAGCGCGCGTTCTTCAGTGAAGAAGATTTTCCTTGCACCTTTCTTTGTGGAAAACTGAAAAATGGGCCAGTCATCCTATTGAGGCTAATAGGTAGTTTGCATTTGAATGCATGTTTACAGATGCATCACTACAGTGTTTAGTGTGGAATGCCCTCCACAGACCACTGATTTCAGTGGGAGTGGGAGCACATTCACGGTATTATCATGCTAATCATATGCTCAGATGTGTACACAAGAGTAAAGAGGGCAGCATGCCTCCTCTGAGAAGCTCACAGTACAAGGTCTGTCATCTTCCTTTCCAGGTGGTGTCAAGCGCCCGTTTGTCAGGGTGGTTAAACACTGGAATAAATTGCCCAGGGGGGTTGTGGAATCTCTATTACTGGAGATATGAAAGAGCAGGTTGGACAGACGCCTGTCAGGGATGGTCTAGATGGTGCTTGGCCCTGCCGTGAGGGCAGGGGACTGGACTTGATACCCTCTCAAGGTCCCTTCCAGTTGTAGTGTTCTAGGATTGATTTCAGTAGAACTATTGACTATGATAAGGTGCTATCCATGTGGATAAAGGTGGCAGAATAGCGCCCTATAAAACCGATTATATCAGGGTGGGCAATAAGACGGTGGTGATTCATCCTGGTGGGCCACTGCCGTAGCTCTCGTTGGCCAGGAACGGCGATCTGCAGCCAAATGGGAACTGCAGCTGTGGAGTGGCAGGAAAATACAGCAGCTGCCAGCCAGGGGTTAACCCTGTCCAACCCTGCTGGCTTGCAGGCCAGTTATTGCCCACTGCTGGGCTCTGTGACATCGAGAGGAAGGTTCATCCTCACAGTGATTCTCCCTGTTCCTTTAATGTAACAGATCAGAGGATAAATGTTTCAGGAGTTGTCTGAAACGGGTTCTCAAAGCTTGTGAGGTCTTGTGTGCTGATTTTTTAAAAAAAATTAATATGTTCTTTTATTTTTCTAGCTTTGGGGAGCTCAAAAAATAAAGCAGGTAAAGCATTTAAAATATTTTATCCTCCTTTAAAATACTGTGATTCCCTTCTGTTTTTCCTGAATGGGATTTTTTTTTCTCTGTCTTGGTTTTCCAGAGATGTTTTTGTTTGGCAAGATCAAACAGCATGTGTAAATAACTTTTTCCCATGCAGGAATCATGATTTTATTTTATGTCATGTCATGTCATGTCATGTCATGTCATGTCATGTCATGTCATGTCATGTCATGTCATGTCATGTCATGTCATGTCATGTCATGTCATGTCATGTCATGTCATGTCATGTCATGTCATGTCATGTCATGTCATGTCATGTCATGTCATGTCATGTCATGTCATGTCATGTCATGTCATGTCATGTCATGTCATGTCATGTCATGTCATGTCATGTCATGTCATGTCATGTCATGTCATGTCATGTCATGTCATGTCATGTCATGTCATGTCATGTCATGTCATGTCATTTGATGTCGACACCCGCGCATCCAGACTACCGCGCTGAGCCGACAAACAGCTGATCACTCAGCGCGGCAGCCATGTAAATTTAAATGAAGCGGCGATTATTTAAATCGCCGCTTCATTTTCCTATGCCTGGTAGCCTAATCTACATGCCTCTGGCGACAGAGGCATGTAGTCTAGACGTACCCTTAGAGTTTTCTTGATCTCCACATTCCCATGGAATGTTTGACAGTTCTTCCATAACAATAAAAACAGTCACATCTTTCCCCTGGACAGTCCCAAATTACTAGCAAACTGATTCTCACTGCTTTTACACCAGTTTCACACTGATGCATCCTCGCTGACTTCATATGGAGATTTGGTCTTTATCTGGGTACGATGAGAGAAACCAAAAGGGACTTTTATGGATGGCAGTAGAATGGAGTATGTTGATGGTCTCAGTCCAATTCTTAATGAACTACTGCAGTTGACTCCTTTATAGATGATCTCCATCGTGAGGCCAAGAACTGGACGGACATGAATGCTGAAATTCTCCTAATGTAATGCAGTGAACCATTATGGAGAATTCTGTGTTTCAGTAGCACAAGATGAGTTTGCAATCATGTTTTCAGCTGGCAACATGATGGTCAGTCTCTGGAGGATTTATTTCCATGCAAATGTCCATGCTTGTCTTCACCTGGTTTACAATCTGGCATATGTATACATGCGAACGGAGGGTGCTTACATCATTGATACAGATTATTGAAAGAATCTTCCCACTTAATCCTAGGAAAATGCATCCATAGATTTTCTGGGTGTGAGGGCTGTGGATAGAAGCCATCATGTATACATTCAGGAAGAGTTAAATAAAACCTGTCATTTCAGAAAGCATGCTTTTGATTGTATAATCACCGGGATTTCTGAACAACTCAATTTACTGCAGGAGAGCGGAGTAACACTTCTGAAATAATTTGAATTTAAAATCTGTCCTGAACATTTGCTTAGAACGGATTTTTTTTTCTTTTTGCATTCAGAAACTTTACTGTGTCAACTTCAAACCTACACACAGGACAAGAGAGCTACATTGCACTGACTTAGGTTGCTGCTTCCTATCTAGTCCACTTGATAATGAGCTATTGCTATCTAATAGATGTTAGTGCCCTGCGCACAGTGAATTTACTTGAAGTGGCCAGATTACAAACTCACCAACAAAATTGGCCTCGTTGTTAGCAGTCTTGGTAGAGACACCAAGGACTGGGTGAGCCATAGAGACTGAATTCTCCTCTTGTCCCTGAGGTAGCACCTCCCAGGCCGGGCTGTCCTGAGGGGAGCACGGAGCCTGGAGCAACCTCCACGCCAGAGGCCCAGGCATGGAACTCTGGGCAACCCATCCTGCCCCTTCCCCAAGCTTCACCCCTGCTCCATTCCTGCCCCCAAGCAACGTGACCCAGGGGATTACCCGGGGCCTGTGGTGGCAGGGGCCAGAGCGGTACCACAGCCTGCTCCTTCCGGCCCGCCGCCCTCCTGGCTAGCTGTGCCCTGCTTCTCACAGTGGGCTGGGAAGGGACACCAGGGAGCAAACTGCTGGTGCTGCTCCAGCTCCTGCTGCCACAGTGAGTGCGTGGGGGGAGGAGAGGGTGATCCCTGCTGCCGCGCCAGGTTCCAGGTAATCCCCTAGGTCCTGTCCATGGGACACTTGGGGCAGCACAGGGCTTGGGGCGACCTCCCTGATCTGTTCTATGGCCAGGACGGCTCTGTTCCCAGGCCAGAGTCAAGGCACAGTGTGGGCTGTTCTTTGCGGACGTTGCTGCTGCTCATTAATGTACCGTTGCTGTACGTCTGTCTCTAGTGTTGTCAGTCTGTCGCTTTTCACTAGCCCTCAGTCATACTAAGAATTTTTAAAGGAGCAGAAAACCATTAAGGAGGGGGAGGCTTTTGTGAAGCTAACTGAATGGGCAGAGGCCGCTGATCTGGGCTGCAGGCGCCACATGCATCATGCTGCTGACGCGCCTGCGGAGAGACCCTACGTGTGTCTCTGCTCTCCGGTTAAACGGACTGTACATAATGGGAAGGGTCGGTCTCTCTGCTACTTACCCACCACTTGCATGCTTTCACCGTGTCTATTTACTGATTGCTTTGTAGGCCATCATACATCCTGACACTAATGAGAAGATCTTCATGCCTTTCAGGATGTCAGGTACAGTATAGCCTCTATCTACTCAGTGTACCGATCTGGTTGCTAATCTTACTGAACCCCCCCAGTAAATGCGATAACCCCGTTTTTGTCCCAGTTCTGTCTCTGAGTCTTTTAAATGTTTAGTGTCGGCCTCGTTCTTCTCCATACCCCCTGGACAGCTGAATGGGAACGCCAGCTAATCTCATCTCTGGCCTCTGTAATGCGCCCGTCTGGGTTGTACCCAGCACTCGGCGGCAGTGTTAGCAGTCAGTGGGGGAAAGAAAGCCTCTATGTGAATAAACACTGAGGCTTTCTTCCACCCAGAAGAGTGGATTGGGCCCACCTCCTATGATGACAGCCTAGCGTAAGAACCTAACTCCAGCAAGAGTCTTGGAAGGTATCTTCCATGCCAGCCCATGTTCGTTCGCCCTCAGACAAAGGGAGGGGGAGAGAGAGAAAGTGATTTGCTTTTGTGATATACCACATCCAGTCATGGTGTGAGACAGCTGCTGTTGCATCATTAAATCAACCCCTCCTCTCCCCTGCCCCTTAGAAGGGACGTTACCTGATTTCTAATACGCTGTGCCGGGCCATGGCGGACGTGATCTGTGAGCATGGGAGGACTAGCAGAATTGGTGTGTCAATCGCTAAAAGCTTTTCGGAAAGGGAAGAGAACCTTGTGGCTAAAGGACTCCTGGGTCGTCTCCTCCCCGCCTCGTTCTGCCAGTGTCTTGCTGTGTAACTCCGAGCGAATCATTCCACCTCCCTGCGCTTTGAGATCCCCATCTGTCCACTGGGGTTGTGAGACTTAATGCCTTAATGTTTGTAACATGCGCGTCGCCCCTCGGGTGGGAGGGGTCAGAGCACAACAGAGCATTGTGGTGATTGGCTCCTCTTGCGAGGGGAGCGACCTGTGAAGCGTGTGATGTTTGTAGAGGGCCATTGATATTTTGGGTAAATTTTGCTCGCACAAGATTGTGATTCCATTTTAACTATACTGTTACAGCTAAAGCAGCATTGCCCATCCCCCACTGTGGGTGTAGCTTCCTTGTGCAACTTACTCTGACTTGGGAAAAGAAATAAGATGCACCAGTATAAGTTTTTTTTATATTGTAATAACTACATCCATACTAGGGTTTATATGCCCGACTGTCAATACAAGTATCACATGCCTAACCAATGTAGGCCTGTATAACTTTTCCCATGTAGCCCAAACCCCCAAAAATCCTTGGGAAATGCTTAAAACCCCCCAGAGCAGAGAAGGAAAGTGAGGTAAGAACTGTGAGTCCTTTTCTCCCCTCACTCCTGACTGTCAGGCTGGAGTCACTGGAGTTACAACCGCATGGAAAGGAGACTCAGGCTAAGTCTACACAGGCACTTTACAGTGCTGAACTGTCTGGCTTAGGGGTGTGAAACGCACCAGTGTGAACTGCTAGCTGCTTCCCTCAGGGCGATGGTTTACCGTGGCTGCACTTTAAACTTTTAAGTGTAGACGAAGCCTCAGGCTTGTCCTATGCGCTTCCAATCCTACGTTCATAGCGGCACTAAGTTTCTCAGGTGAAATATCTCCTTAACCTCCGTGGATTAAAATGTGTGTTTCTTTCTTTCTGTTTTATAGGTTACATTCCTTTTGGAACACCCATCGTAAGTATTTTAGCATCTCTCCCCTCTCGGCCCGAGTGTAACAGGAAATGCATTTTTTAGCACTCACGTAGACTTCTCCAAATTCCACACTACATCGGTGTGACATTCACAAAATGTTCACACCTTTCCCATCACACATTAGCGAGGGTTTCATTGTGCAAAATATGCCCTGCTGGAGTTAGAAAGTCCTGTTTAAAGTCGTTTGCCTCTTACACATTATTCACTTCCTTCCCTGCACACAAACCCATTCTGCTATTTTTGTAATAGCTTTGAGCTTCTGGTTCACCTTATATCTGGCTCTTACCGATTATTGCTCTGGAGAATGTCTACACTGCAAGGAAAAGCCTGTGGCTTGCCCATACCAGCTGACTTCCGGTTTGCAGAAGCACGGGCTAAGGTGCAATTTAATTGTGGTGTAGATATTTGGACACAGGTTGGTGCCTGGGCTCCAGACCCTCCAGCTTGGACCTGAACATCTACGCTGCAGTTAAACAGCCCCTTAGCCATCGTTCCCGCTAAGGTGAAGGCCTGCACAGCCGCGCACCACAAATTCTTCCCCTGCCCGCCTCCTCTGGAGAGCTGCGCAGCAACACGTGTGCGGCAGATGGCTGTTATGGCAGGTGGGTCTAGCTGAGGTAGTGCAGTGAGGGAGCCGCTGGCGTGCGGGGCCAGGACTTGCTGTGGCCTCGTAACAGCCCCTTAGCCATCGTTCCCGCTAAGGTGAAGGCCTGCACAGCCGCGCACCACAAATTCTTCCCCTGCCCGCCTCCTCTGGAGAGCTGCGCAGCAACACGTGTGCGGCAGATGGCTGTTATGGCAGGTGGGTCTAGCTGAGGTAGTGCAGTGAGGGAGCCGCTGGCGTGCGGGGCCAGGACTTGCTGTGGCCTCGTGGAGGTGTGGGGGGTAGGCCTGCTCTGGGGCCGGGGGGGGCA